CGGAAACACCAAATCATTTCATCGTGACTTTGGTGATTTTTTCCAATAAATAATCGGCTGTATCTGATGCTATAGTAACTGTTGTGTCGTCTGCAAAAATCGATAAACATCCTTCCTGAATGTATCAGGGAGATCGTTTATGTAGCTTATAAAAAACGAAGTTCCTAAAATAGACCCCTGGGGCACTCCAAGAGCACAGCCATCTTTCTGCTTGTAAGGTAAGTTCTATCCATTTCAGAAAATTCTAAGGGAATCTAAGAGCCTACCAGAAATGTTGGATCTCAGATACGATAGCTTTTGTTTGATCAAAGAGAAGCGTTAGCGATTGTTTATTAGTGTCTAATTGAGTAAATATAAATTTCAGCATATTGGCGAGCAAGTCATTTTTCTCCAGATAGTACACCATTCGGATATGTATTTTTTTCAAATAATTTTGATAGGCTGTTTAGTAAGGATATTTGACGATAGTTGTCAAAAGCTGCTGCTTTACTACCTTTCTCATGCATAGGAATGACAAGTGCAGTTTTAGGTGCTTCCGAGAACGTGCCAAGCAAAAGTGGCAGATCAAACAGAAAAACAATATGTTCATGAGTTCATCGAATTTAAACTCAATCCGTCAAGCCCTGAACACTTTTTATTTTTTAATGCCGTCATGGCTTCTAGTACTTCTCGGTGTGAGATGGGTTCATTGTTGAATTGATGCGTTATGATAATGTCCTTGGATGTAGTAAAAGGCAAGGACATATTTTGACCAATGTTCGTTGTTTGCAATATTCGAGAAATATTCAGCAAATAACTTACATTCAGCTGATGACTTCAGATTACCACCAACGTTGATCAGCCCGTTTTTGTCTTCATTTCCACCAGTTCAAACTTCATTATATTCCTCGCTTACTTATTTTTATTGTTGGAATAGCACATTTTGTTTTTTAAAATGAAATATTTCTTTGCCTAATACTGCTTTTTGCTTTCGTTGTAATATTCTTTAAAATCGCTGTTATTCTTAGCATATAGGAAAAGATTTTTAAGCTCCTGGCCCTATCTGATTATGTCCGCGGTTAAACAACTATTATTACGACGTATCGTTTTTTGCTTATATTTATATGCAGCACTGACAGGTAGTGAATATAGTGGTTCCCAGTTGGTTTTATTAATGTGGAATTAAAGCTCATTTATATTTTCTTCTCTTAAATGTCTCTTTAAATGATTTTGAGGCCGATCTTGTATCTACTGCGATTCTAGGAATATGTGCAAAATGGCCCACAATGTAAGGATCAATATTATACTACCACAAGTATTTTGTGGCAGCTTTTGTAACCAGATCGGTTAGTATATACTCTGGAGGGCTCACGAATATGTAAATCAGGCTTGAAAGGCTGTAAGCGCCGTATCGTCAGTCGTTCCTACAATTGTAGAACGCCTTTATGGCCTTCTTGATTTTCATAGTTTCCTACTGTTCCGTGTCAGCGCTCTATTTTGGGGTACCAAATATCTATTTGCATCGAATTATTCATATATTATATTATCTGTTATATCGGCCCCGAAATGTCTTACAATTCAAAAAGAAAACATAGCCTCACAATAAGAGAGCGCTGACGCTGACACAGTACAGTAGAAATCTGGAAATACCCCAGCCTTTCTGAAGTGGAGAGAAAATACTATGAAAATCAAGGAGGCCATTAAGGCGTCCTACAATAATTGTAGAAACGAGTGACGATACGGCCCTAAGATATCTCTAACAGTATCTTAGTGTACAAATTGCCTTTCTTTAAATAATCAATATTCAGGTCTCCTGCTAAAATAATTTGTTAACATTCTTGGATGCAACTGACAGAGCCTTGCTCAGCTGTCAAGGAGTAAGTTAAGGTTGCCAGATGGGGGCGCGTTATTAGGAATTATGTAAGAATGTTGTTAATTTTGCAAGTATTTCGAAGTGCGATTCGATAGACAAATCTTGTATACTAAACAATTTCCGAATTTTGACACTGTCCTTCACCATTTAGTGAGCCACCACGAATGCTAACCTTTCTGGAGAAACATATTATTTATAACCTGGAGAACTTATGTTACTAGCCAATGTTCAGATAGGCAAAGAATGTCAATGGAGTTTAACTCAGGAACACCTCAATTAGATTATTTTCGCTGATATACCCTCGACGTTAACATGTGGTATACATATAATAGAACCATCCGAACATCCATGGTTCACGTTGCGCTAAGGTGAGTCAATTGTTACGATGAAATTGTGTCGCTAATGAGAAGTGTGCAATATTTGTTGAATAGGTGCACTGGTATAGCCATCAAATACAGACCCTTTTAGTCCCTAAACGAGCCTCTGGACTAAAAAATTTACTTCATTTTTTTACGCACAGAGCTGTTCTGCGTGGCAGGAA